CAGGAAAATCTGCACATAATAACAAAGATAGGCACTATCTGGCAAAGCTGCAGCACAAGGAAGGGAAAAATACCATGATTAAACATAATAAGACCTCACTTGAAATGTAAAGTACTCTGGAACAAATTCTGCCAGCTCACTGAAGAACTGGAAAACAGGAAGGAGCAGACTCTGCAGTGAAGCCCATCCCAAAGGGAAAGCACAGCAGTAGGGAATTAGATGCTGCTTCCCAGTCCCCTCATGGTGCTGCTGAGCACTTTTTATCACCTGCTTTTGAGGTGCAGCAGGTTCAGTCCTAAATTCTGCTCCCACTGCAGGACCTGCTGAATTTGGAGCCAGTCACAGGCACCTGTTGTGCAAGTGAAACACTGCCATCCTTCCACAGGCTTTCCCATGGTGGCACTGCTGCCCAAGTGCATTCTGTCAATACTATTTTCTGATATTTTCCAACGTTACAGTCCTTCCACAGCTGAGATTAGCTCAACAAGAGACAGAAGAATGGTGAGCTTGCACTGCCACTTCATGGGTTCCTCCCTGCAGCTGTAAGCACTGAGCACAGTCTTGCTGAAAGGGGAGAAGGGGCTCTCCTTATCCCATTCCATGTGGGATCTCAGGCTGCATGAAGCTCACTCAGGGGGAAACACGCTCTCAGGTGATGTGTTCCTATCACAAACACAAGTTCACAAGTAAAAAGAAGCAGTTTTGGCTCATAGCCTCTTGAATGTCTTTGCACTTGGGAGTTAGTGCTGAACCCTTCCTAACCCTTCAGCTGGAGCTCGTACTGCATAGTTTGAAACTCGACTTTCAACTTGCAGCGATCATTTGCATGCATGTACCTTCAAAGAATGGCATCGGATTTGCAACTCCGTGTTGTAATGAGAGGCTAATTAACACAAATATGGCTTATTAGCAAGTTGCAGACACTTAAAGGACGAACCCAGCAGGCCAGAGCCTGTGACGTCCTGTGTGACAGGGCTGGAGAACCTCAGGGGTGAGCTGATACCAGCCAAGGCTGTGCCACCAACTCCAGCACCACAGGCAGATGGCTCCACAGCTCGCTTTCCCCTTCTGCAGTGGGATAGTGAGACTCATTTACTTTGCTGGGTAGTCCTCCAGCTTAATTAAATCGTTACCTTTAAATTAAAGGCACTACAGAAATGCCAGGAAGTAGCGTCTGAATTAGAAGGTGGAGGTGACACCCTAATGAAGCAACAGTGTTTTCATCGTCAACAGCAAAAGGTCACCCGTGGAATAATTGTGAAACCGCATTCCAAGCTTCTGAGGGGAAGATGACTTTTCCCAAAACTTCATTAAGGAGGAAGAGACGTCCCAGCATCGCCAGGTGGCTGAAATGCTGCAGGTTCACAGGCAAACCTGCAGTGGTTTCACTGCTGCTTGTTCTCCCTTGCCCTCACCCTTCGCTTTCCCAACAGCAGCAAAAATATCACAGCTCTTGAAAGAATGCTTTTTCCACAGGCAACTGTTTTCAGGATGATCACAGACCTATTAAGAAAATTGCAGGGGATCATTTCCCTTCATGTTGGTAATGCTCAGCACAGTTTTCAGTCTTTCCTTTCCAAGAGCCACAGTGGAGGCCCTCCCTCTTTTTGTCTGGGACAGCTCCTCCCAAATATCATTATATTTTAACATACTCCACATACAGTATAAATTCCCAACTCTGGGTAAAAATAAGGACATGACTGAAATATCCACTACTACAGTGCAGGCTTTTTATTTTTAAAGTCCTGGAATAAACTTAAACCATAAGAAACAGGCCAGTCCTTGGTGGAGGCCCAGTTTCACCATGTATTCCCAAAAAAGCTGCAACTTAAAAGAGTCAGGTGTGAAACTGCACCCAAGTTCTGTCCCAGATGCCAAAAGTCACATCCCATCCTAAATTCATCCAGTCCATAGTGAGGAGTCATTAAACCAAACCCAGGAAAACTGGCAGCCACTTCCTTGTGGGCTGCACCTGCAAAAAGGCCACCCAAGAACAACTCATTATACACAATGTCCTTGTGCCAGAGTATCAGCACCACAAAACACCACAGTTGCTGTTCACTTCTGAGCAATGCAAAAGCTTTTCTTTTTAAGTAAAGCAAGACATGCTATAGCAGAGGTCAGCCCAGTTCTTTCTATTACATAAGATGCTCTTGCATTGACTGGAGATGCATTACCCAGCTTCTGTGTGGAGATGTTAAAAAACAGTGGAAGATACTCAGGGAACTACATTTGGAACAAATAACTCTCTATATGATCTTTTTTCCTAGTGACTAAACATATACTAAATATATACTTGCATACCTTTGTTATATATATATATATACACACACACACACTAAATATATACTTTTTCTTATACTTGCATTTATTTTTAGAAGGCCAAAACCACTGCACTCAAGTTCTCAGGTAAGAGAAGTTGTACTTGTAGTACTGTGCCCACACAACTGGATTCTCTGTTTGCTTTTATCTGTCTGTCAGCTGCCTACTAATTGCTTTTGAGGCCACTGACCTGCTTTTGACTAAATTTGACGGCAGGAAGAAGTCCCAAAGCTCCCAACACTTCCATTTAAAAAAAAAAAAAAAGGTTGGGTAGAGGCAAGACTCTCGTAAGGCAAGAAGAGAAAGGTTAATCACAAAGGTCAACTCCTATTTGACGTCAGAGAACCCACAGGAGGGATCACCCTAGAGACACAAATCCTCAGGAACCAGTTTCCATTTGGTACTGATGCTCTTCTAACACTTGTTTCAAATAGAGCTGGAACCAGAAATTAACTCCAGTTCTCACAACAGTTCACTGGCCTCAGGTAAATCATCACTTCTGATGCTACTTCCCCTGCCATAATGTGGCTGGTGTTAAAATCCCTTATTACGTTGCTGCAACAATTCATATTTGAAATGTACTTTGAAGGTCTGGAGAGTTGTATTCACTAATTATTACCTGTCTTGAGACATGAGCTGAATATTCAAAGTGCCAGCTTGATTCATCTGCAAATGCACATCACATAAGCATGTGGTATGCACCAGGACTCAAAATACAAAAGCAAAGATTGCTTTCAGAGAAGACTTTATAATCAAGTCAGTTTTGAGCTCAAAACATATAATTTTTATTACCACAGCTCTCCCATTAGACTGGATTTAAATTATCCCATGTTTGGGATTAGCGCTTTATAATAAACACCAGTTCGAAAAGTAAATACCAATTGACAGAAGACAAAAAGGCCATGCAAAGTTTGATTCTGTCCCCAGAGGCAAGTCTGATGTCTGAGATCTCAAACCTTTGATAGCAGGCCGGGTGCTAACAGATAAGATCCACAGGGCAGTTACTGAGCACTGCAAGGGCAGAGTTTACCCTGCCAATACTGGCAGTCGCAGCGCTGGGGCTGGCAATGCCACACTGCAGCAGCCAGGCATTTTCATCTTCTGCTTGGTCAGGCACTTTCCAGCCTTCCCAGAAAAGATGCTGCTTTCGGTTCTTGCAGGCGGAACAATCAGATGACAGAGGTCTTGCTGAAGGTGCTACAGCAAAGAGATGAACTAGGTAGTGATTTATGGGGCTTTTTTAAGCATGCACGAGGGGGAAATAGCTTCCCAAAGAGGAAACTTTCCGTGCATTAAAGGAAAATGGTGCTTTGTAGTAAAACTCTCTGCTAGAGAGGTTCCTATTTGAGGGCAAGGGAGCAAACTACAATTTCCTTCAATAATAACAGGTTAACCTTGTATCTTCAAGCTTCCTCCTGGAGCAGGCTGACTACCAGCCGAGCACTCAGTACCTCCCAATACTGGCCTTTACATTTCCTGAAGGAGCAAGCCCTGTCTGCAAATAATAATAATACTACTACAAAAAGCCACAACAGTGCCAGCTAAATTTTCCTTCTAATCCTCCCCATCTCCCTACTCCAGACAAAACAAATACAACCTGGCCAACTTATTCTGACAACAGGGACTAGATTTATGTCCCTTGCACTCTATCACTGCCCTACAAACATACATTATTTTAATGCAGCATAAACAAATATCTGATTTGCTTAATGCCACATCGAGTCCTAGTGATTAAAACATATATATGCATAGAGCAAAATTTATACATGCCCAAACCCCTTTATAAGCTCTGAAGATAAAATTATCAGTATTGCCAAACACAGAATATGCATTATATTCTAATGACATGAGACAGTTGATTACCAACAAGCCTACTTCGTTTCTAATCAGGGAAAGTTTAGTGATGATCTCCTTCCCTGCTGGGAAGAAACGAACGAGGAGTCCTCTCTAGGGATGGCACAGTAAACATCCCAATGCACATTTATTTCGGAGCTGAGCCTCATAGTAGTAGTACCCACCGAGGCACACAGCGCTTCACGCAGTGCTGCTCGTCACGCATCCCTCAGCGCATGATTTTAAAGTGTTTACCTCCAGAAAACCGAGCTTTGCAAAGTGCACTGCAGCTGCCTGGCGGCTCCTCCCGCGCCCGCTCCCGCCAGCTCTGCTGTCACCTGCCCGGGAGTTCTGCAGGGAAGGGACCCTCCTTGGCACAGGGCTGAAGGACAGCCGGGTTGTTCCAGGCGCTCCGCAGAAACAAAGCGGAGAGCGATCTGCCTCGCTGCGGTTTTCACCCCCGAACACACACACACACACAGAGACACACTCGCATCCCCGTTTCGCACAGCCCGTGTGTCCCCGCGGCCGCACCTGTCACGCTGTGCCGGGATCGATAACGCGTCTGCCACCGCCCCCCGAACCTCCCCGAGCACCCTCTGCCCGCCGCCGCTCCCTCCCGAACCCCGCCGGCTCCGCCACCCAGCCCGCACGAACAAAGGACTCTCCCCTTATTTTCGATAAAATTCGCACAAACTAGAGAACAATACCGGAGGGGCCGCACAATGGGCACCGCATCCCTCCCGCCGTCCCCGCTCCATCCCCGCCGCTCCCCCCGCGCCGGGACAGCCCCGGGCACGGCGGCGGCCGCCCCCGGGGACGGGCAGGGCGGGGGCTGCGCTCACCTGCCACCGTGTACCGGTCCAGGTAGTTGAGCACGTTGCCCACGCTGAGGATGCCGGCGGCCGCCACCCGGGCCCGGCCGAGGCTCGGCGCCTTGCGGAGGGCGGCGGGGCGGTCGGGGTGCTTGCCGCCCGCCGGCGGGTTCATCCTGCCCGACAGGGTCTGCACCTCGCCCTCGGCGCCCCGGCCGCAGCAGCCCCGCTCGCCGTCCTCCTCCTCCTCCTCGTCGCCGGCTCGCAGCCGCCCGCCGCAGCCCGGGCTGCTGCCGGAGGAGCCGTCGCTTTCCAGGCACATCATGGGCTGCGGGAGGGGGATCTCGGCGCGCGGGGCGAGTGAGTGACTGAGTGACGGGCGGAGGGACAGACCGACGGACACCGGAGCGCTCAGCGCCGCATCCCCGCGGCCGCCCCGAGCCTGCCCGGGACCGGCCGCCTCTGACAGCGCGGGCGGGGCGGGGCCGGGGGTGGGGCCCAGGGCAGGCTCCGCCCGCCGCCCCCGCCCCGCCCGCCGCGAGTGCCCCGCCCCGCCGGCCCCGAGGGGTCCGTCAGACCCGCCCCGGGCGGCACCGCGGGGCGGCTCCTGGGCCGGGCACAGACCGACCCTTTGGGGGTCTCCTCAGTCCGCCTCAGCGCGGCCCCTCAGCCTGGTTCGGGAGGGGTTCTCAGCTGTGTTCAGACCGGCCCCGACAGTGTCCTCTCAGCCGGCCGCAGCCGTCCACAGACCGGCCCTTAAGAAGGTCCCCTCAGGGCGGTTCTTCAGCCGCCCCTCAGCCCCCCACAGACCGGTCCTTACGTGGGTCCCTCAGCCCGCCTCAGACTAGGCATGAGGAGGTCCCCGCAGCCCGCCTGAGGGCGGCCCCTCTCAGCTCCTCTCTCAGCCCGCCCCAGCTGCCCTGAGGGGGGTCCGTTCCCCCGCCTCTGGACGGCCCCTCAGCCCGGTCCTGAGAGGATTCCCCCTCAGGTCACCTCAGACCAGCCACGAAGGTGGTTCTTCAGCAGCCTCAGCCCGGCCCCAAAGGGAGTTCCCTCCTCAGGTCACCTCAGACCAGCCATTAAGGCAGTTCCTCAGGACCTCAGCACGGCCATGAGGGGATCCCCCCCTCAGCTCACCTCAGACCAGCCATGAAGGCGGTTCCTCAGCTCCTCAGCCGAGCCATGACAGGGTCCCCACATTCTGCCTCAGCCTGGCTTCAGGTGGTCCCTTCAGACCTGCCACGAGGGGTTCCCCTTCAGCCTGTCTCAGACCAGCCAGGAAGGCAGTTCCTCAGCTCACCTCAGCCCGGCTCTGAGGGCATCCCCCTCAGCTCACCTCAGCCCGGCTCTGAGGGCATCCCCCCTCAGCTCACCTCAGCCCGGCTCTGAGGGCATCCCCCTCAGCTCACCTCAGCCCGGCTCTGAGGGCATCCCCCCTCAGCTCACCTCAGCCCGGCTCTGAGGGCATCCTCCCTCAGCTCACCTCAGCCCACTCCCTTCAGCCCGGGAGCGGCCGGGTCTTGCCTGCCCAGCGTCACCAGCACAGTGCGACCAAGTAATGACTTCCCTTCATCTACCTTTATTATTCTACGGCGCTGCACAGCAGGCTTCAAACACACCGATGGGCAGAACTGTGTAGTTACCTGGAAAAAAACAAAAACTCTCCTTGCCTACTCTGAGCGCCCAGAGCTGTCTCCAGGCACAGGGGCTGTCAGGGAAGGGATGATTTAAGGCAGGGCAAGGGCTCCCTGGAATGTGCCACCAACCTGGCAGCTCCCTGCCTGGCCCCAGACGATTTTCCTATTGCACAGAAGTGGCTTCAGGAACAACACACATCTTCAAAGGAAGTAAAATTGCTCCAGAGTTCCCCCCACTGCAAACAGTTCCATCCCGCTCCCTATAAAGTTCCACCTTTGAGCTAAGAACGGCCAAGAGACTTTTCATTTCAAAAGGAGGAGTCTTCAAAGAGATAAAAGTGTTCACAACCAGAGTGGCTCCAGCCTGTCGTACCTGTCGTAAAACTACAAAAGGTAACTAAAAACAGAGAAATAAAACGATTGCTGGAGAGCCAACGCGCTCTTGTCCGAGAACAGCACGTTAGGATTTCGGATTTCTCTCAGTCTGTTGATCTTACCTAAGAAAATGTGTCATGATTAAAGCCTTTGTCTCCGGGATACACATTTAAACAAACCCCCATCGCCTTCCTCTGAGGAACGTGGAGCTCTCCCAGCACAGCCCGTGTGTGTGCTCAGCATACCTGGCTGTGCCACACCCTGCCAGCGATGACACCAGGGACAGACTATGCCAGAAATCTGGAGAGATACGACCAAGGGAACCCCTAGGGTGCTGCCGGGGGTAAAAGGGCACTTTTTGATGAGTCAGCAGCAATTCAGGGCTGTTTGAGCAAGGCCACTGAGGAAAGGAGCAAACACCCTTCCTAGTGACGTGTGACACTCCCTAGTGGTGAGTGACATTTTATTGCTGAGAGTGGGTCTGCACAGACGTTCCAGAGTTCATTTCAGTGACAGAAACAACATATCTGGATTAATGATAATGTTCAGGTTGACTTGTTGAAGTCTAGGGGAATAATTCTTTACTCCACAGCAGCATCTGCAGTTCAGATGTGACTGACTGTGTGGGAGAGGTTACGCTGGCAAAGCTGCTTATTCAGATCCCCACTAATTCCATTATTCTAGGGGTGTATGTGATTTGGTCAAGTGACAGTGCTCAGAGTATTACATAGCCCAAAAGGAAACCCAAACCCAAACCAAAACAAAAACTCAACAGAAAACAGTAGAATTAAAAAGAAGGAAAGGGAAAAATGAGAAAAAAAATTAAGGAAAGGGGGAAAAGGAGCAAAATGGCTTTACAGGGACCACCCAACTTGCCCAGCAGTGGAGGCAAAACTCACATGTTCTTTAAGCCAGACATATCAGGCATTAAACAGGGCTGAACTGCAGGTTCAAGGAGCTCCCCAGAGCCCAGCCAAAGTGTCCAGGAGCCCTCAGATACACATGGTCTGAGGCACTGTCTGTTCTGCTCTTATTTTTTTCACTGCAAGGGCTACCCCTGGGCTCTGCACACAGAGAGCAATGTTCAGAAGATGTTAATGAGATTGAAAGGCAAGGCAGAATTAAAGACCTTAGTCTTATGGATCAAGTGGTTCTCCTGAAAGCAGCTAAGAAAGCAGAGTTTTCTTGGGGAACTGAAGTTTAATTTAATTTCTTTCCCTTTAACCAGTACCAGGCACAAAAACAGAGGTGGCACTGAAGCCAGGGCGGTTTACTGTATGTTAAATTAACTGCCTAAGAAGGCTGAGGAGTGACTTCTCCAAGTCCCTTTGATCCAGCAAAAACCCCAAAAAAAAAACCATCCCAAACACCAACTTAAGGTCAGTCCATACGCTCCAGAGTTCGGGCAGGCTTCTGATGGCCCCTGAAGATGGAGCAATGCAGGACTGAGGTCGCACGAGCATCCTTTTATTTCTGACACAGGGAGGAGTTTCAGCTCAGAGACATCCACAGACACAGCACAAAGAGGCACAGTGAGTTACAGGGACACACAGGGTCTTGCAGCCAACCCTTACACCTTCAACTGTACACGGAAAACACAAACACAGCAGATGCCAGTGCATCCATGTAATGAGATTTATATAAAGGAAAAGCAGAGGGAACTGGAAAAAACGTGACAGAATTGTCTTTAGTGGCAGGATGAATCATATGACTGAACTGCTAAAATCACTGGTTACCACCTCTTAAGAGGAACAGTGTGGATTGTAGCTCAGAGACATTGCTGGGTTTGGCTGTTACAGGTTGTTGAGAGGCAATTTGATTACAGTGTGCAAGTTCTAACATGGGGAGAAAAATGCCAGTTTTAAGAGCTCTAATCAAGAGAGGAAAGGCATAGCAAGAACCAGAACAATGGCTGAGACTTGGAGTAAGAAAAATCCTAATGAATCATCTGGTTCACATTTGTTACAGAGTGATTATCCCCTGGAACAAAATGCTAAAGAAGGGGTGTATTCTCTACCCCTCTATCTCCTTCAATCCAGGTTGATTGCCTTTCTAGAAGGTGCATTATTGAATTCAACACGAGCTGCTGCACTCCCTGCAGAGAGAATGGGGTGTAATTTCATGAGACAGGAGGTCAGGCTGGGTGGGTTAAAGTCCCAAACCTGAAGAGACGAGTTCTTACTCTGCTTACCAAGCACACGACGTTTTCTGCACCCACTTCATTTGCTAGATTGATCTGAGCCCCTGGGAAAGCACATTACACCAAGCTGGTCTTGAAATGGTGGTTACAAAAGAGGAGTGTCCCCACAGCCCTGGTGATGAAGGTGGATGGCATCTTCCCAGGCACTGGGGATGCTGTGTCTGCCAAAAGCCAGGAAGCTCCCTCACACTGGCACCACCATCAGGAGGTGTGTGGATACAATGCAAAGCAAATCTGAACCTAGGTAGCTCATCCTTCTGCTTCTTCCAGGTTAAGCAGGTCATCTCTGCTCCTGAAGGAGCTCTGACCAGTCTCTGCACATTCCAGCTCACAGGCATTAGAAGGGCTAAGAGAATCAGCAGCCTTCCTGCAGAGAAGTGACACAGCCTTGTGCGTGTCCCTGAAACCCCTCAGCCCACACCCCGTCACTGTCTGGTCCCAGTGGCCACAAACACAATGCACTGTGTGGGTGACACCAAAGGACAGCAGGCACAGGTCCTTAACCAGGCTCTGCTGAGGGAACTTGCTGCATATTCAGTGAGGAAGGAGCACACTCAGTTGTTAGTGGCCCTGCTCTCTCCCAGTGCAGTCAACAGAGCTTATCCCTTCAGGGATTATTTTCTTCCTTTCATTATTTTGTTAGTGTCTTAAAAGCTTGAAAATGTTTATTTTAGTTTATCCTAGTCTGCACTTATTGATTTTCCCTCGCCTCCAGAGTTCTAGAGAGGGTCAGTGTGAGCAGAAACGCTGCTGGTTGACAACAGCTATAACTTACCTTGGAGCAAACAAACCCACATTTGCCAGTGCACCAATATTCCAGTGTCACAGTCCAGCCAGTCCATGGGCCAGACCTGGCCTGCAGGAAGCTTCTGACCATCCTCCCACCTTCTGTCCCCTCTGTTTGCAGAGGGGAATAGGGGCTTGAACCACCCACAGAAGGTAAAACCCAGATGTGAGTCCTGTTTTTAATCAGGTTGGACCTTACCTAGTCCTAGCAGTTACTACAGCTGAGGAACTGGACCATCAAGAGGACATCACATGGGTGTTTTGGAAAAAATGGAAATTATCTCTAACCCAGCCTATTTAAAATCCAGATTTCTTCTTCACTTAATAAAAATCTTAGGAAAAAAACACCACTTTTTGTACTTCTGAAAGACACAATAATAATAACCATAACTGTCAAAGGACTGGAGTCTCCCTCAAGTAGGGTTTTGTCAAAATGTGCACCAGTGTAGCCACTACCATT